ACTGGACAGTTCAGGCCATTCACGTTCAATGTGACTAATGATAAGTGGTAACTTTGCCCTGCCATTTGCCAAAGATAAGTTCTAATATATGCTTTGAATTCCCTGTGATCTTGGCTGTGAGGTTTCCTTCCTTGGTTTCCTTCCTTTACCTTCTTTCATATTGATGACCGTGTTTCTGTGTTTCTGTGTGTAACACATCTTTAAGCATCTTTTGCAGGGCTGGACGAGTGGCAACAAATTCTTTCAATTTCTGTTTGCTATGAAAAGTCTTTATTTCACCTTCATTCACAAATGATAGCTTTGCAGGATATAATATTCTGGGCTGGCAGTTTTTTTCTCTTAGTACCTGGGCTATATCTCGCCATTCCCTCCTAGCTTGTAGAGTTTCTGATGAGAAGTCAGCTGTGAGTCTGATTGGAGATCCTCTGGGAGTAATCTGACGTTTCTCTCTTGCACATTTTAGGATCTTTTCTTTATGTTTCACTGTGGAGAGTTTAATTACAATGTGTCGTGGTGAGGATCTCTTTTGGTCGTGTTTATTAGGGGTTCTGTGAGCTTCCTGTACTAGGATGTCTCTGTCCTTCTCCAAACCTGGGAAATTTTCTGCTAATATCTCACTAAAAAGGCCTTCTAATCCTTTCTCCCTCTCCATGCCTTCAGGAACTCCTAGAACCCGAATGTTGGGTTTTTTAATAGTATCCTGAAGATTCCCGACAATATGTTTTAGATTTCTAATTTCCTCTTCTTTTCTTTGGTCAGACTGTATCCTTTCCTGTTCTCTGTCTTCTAAGTCCGATATTTTCTCTTCTGCTTCACCCATTCTGTTTGTAAGGCTCTCTAATGTGTTTTTCATTTGATCTATTGAATTCTTCACTTCAGTCACTATCACAGTTTCCTGTTGTACTAGTTGTTTCGTTTCATTTTGATTCCTCCTTAATATTTCATTTTCACGAGAGAGATTTTCTATCTTGTCCATTAAGGATTTCTGTAGTTCAAGAATTTGTTTTTGAGAACTTCTTAATGTTCTTATCAATTTTTTGAGATCTGCTTCTTGCATTTCTTCTATGTCATCATCTTCATAATCTTGAATTGGGGTGTCTTTTTCATTTGAGGGCGTCATGGTGACTTCCTTGTTTTTATTACCTCGGTTTTTGCATTTGTTATTTGGCATATTGGAGATATTTGGTTTCTTCACTGTGGTGCTTTTTCTTGTTATACTATGACTCTAGATTAAGTGGACTAACTGATGAAAAGTTTAAAAAGTCTTTTGTCTAAGATCAGAAATAATACAAATATGTCCATGCTTATCATTTCTTTTCCATGTAATGCTGAAAATCCTAGAGAGAATTATTAGGCAAGAACAAAAATATCATCTGTATATGAGGAAGAAGTAAAATTGTTTCTATTTGCCAGTGATAATAATGAATCCAATAAAAAACTGTTAGAAAATAAATAAATTAAGGAAATCTCAAGTTCTAAAATCAATATAAATATCATTAGTGTTTCTACAGACTAATAATATGTTATCTGGGAAAGAAATTAAGAAAATCATCCCATATATAGGAGCATGAAGAAATAATGTTTTAGGAAATAATGTATCCACATAGGTGAATATTTTATATACTAAAATTATAATACATTGATGAAATAAAGAAGATACAAATAAATTTAAAAAGTCTCTCATAATAAATTGGAGCAATATTATTAAAATAGGCATATGACCCAAAGCAATCTATGCATTCAGTTCAATTCCTATAAAAATAAAAACAATCTTTTATTCAGAAATAAAAAAAATTCTAAAATTTCCTTGGGACCAGAAAATATACTACATAGTCATAGTAATCTTGAGCCCAAAGAACAAAACTGAAGGTATCACACTTCTCCCTTGAAAATATATTATAAAGCTATTGTAATTAAACAGTATGACACCAGCATGAAACAGATACATAGGCCAATGGAATAGGATGGAAAGTCCAGAGAAAATATCCAAGGATTTAAGTCAACTTATTTTTGACAGACATATCAAGGAAGCACAATGTGGATAAGATAGTCTCATGATAAATGGTTTTGGGGAAACTGTAAATGCAAATATAGAAGAATGAAATTAGTCTCTTTTCCATGTCATATACAAAAATCAACTAAAAGTTGATGAAACACTTAAATGCAATACCCAAACTATAAATCTACTGTAAGAAAACACGTGGTGGAAGCTTTACTCTTCTGAGCAGTACTTTCTTGGATAGGACTCTAAATCTGCAGACACCAAAAGCAGGGATGGACAAATGGGATTGTGCAGTTGGTGAGAATGTAAAGTAGGACATCAGTCATCATGGAAAACAAAGCAATGAGAACAGAAAACTGTCAAATAATCCACCAACTGTGTTCCTGGATATATATATACAAAAGAACTAAAATCATTATATTAAAGGGATAGCCCCACTCCCCTGCTCATTTCAGCACTGTTAACAACAACCAACATAAAGAAGTTACTTAAGTATCAATAAAAGGATGAATAATTAAAATATCTATGTGTATATATATATGTAATGAAATACTAGTTAGCTTTAATAAAGAAAAGAATTCCACAATTTGCAGAAACATGGGTGAAATTACAGGACATTATATTGTGAAATAAGCTGAATAGACAAAGACAAATACTGTATTATCTCATGTATATGTGGAATTAAAAAAAATCTCACAGAAACAGAGAGTAGAAAAGTGGTTACCAGAGGCTAGGGTATGGGGCAGGATGGGGAAAGGAAAAATGTTGACCAAAAGGTACAAATTTTCAGTTAGTCAGGAGGATATGTTATAGTAATCTATGAAACCACTTGTTTGCCACAATTAATAATGCATTGTGTATCTAAAATTGCTAAAAGAGTAGTTTTTTACCATAACCAAAGATAATTTGGTAATTAGCATGATTAAATCTTTCTACAAACATACATACATTTTAAAGGTAACATCGGGGGCTAGTGCTGTGGCATAGCAGACTAAGCATCCACTTGCAGAACCAGTATCCCGCATGGGTGCAAGTGCATGGGCTGGCTGCTCCTCTTCCGATACAGCTCTCTGTTTATGGCCTGGGCAAGCAGCAGATGGTGGCTCAAGTGCTTGGGCCCCTGCATCTATGTGGGAGAACCAGAAGAAGCTCCTGGCTCCTCGATTCTGATTGGCTCAGCTCCGGCCATTGCTGCCACTTGAGGGGTGAACCAGGATGCTGAGCTGTGTAGACGCTGGCTTCTGATTTCAGACAACAGTCATCAGGGATCCAAGAACTGCTTCTGGAGGCCCAGGATGGGTGGAATTGTTTGGCCAAGGAGAGAGGCACAGGTTACAGCAACCAAGACCTGGCCCTGGGCTGCTGCAGAAAATCAGCTGGAGCAGCAAGGGCCAAGGGAAAAGGCCAGTGCATGCTGTGGGGACAGCAAGATGCAGCGTGTGACACAGGGATCTGGTGCCGGGAGCTTTTCAGGTATCTTAGGATCAAGGCCGGGGGTGCAGAGGCTGAAGGACCTGGAGCTGCAACAGGAGCAGAGCCAAGCTAAGGCAGCAGGTTGGGGATCACAACTTTCTCAGGCTCGGGCAGCTCCAGTATCAGCCTGGAAAACCAATATGGAACTAAGCTCAGAGCTGTCTGACTCACTGTGCACACTGCAGCCTGAGGGCACACCCCTGGAGATCATTGCCAGTGCTTCCAGAGGAGAGACAAGTGGAAATCAAAGTACAAAGTGAAGCTCCTGGAGAACTGGGCATCCTAGAGACCCAGCTAGAGCAGTATTGCTGTGGGAGCCACCGCCCTTCAATAACAGCAATAAAATTTAAAATGAACCAAAACTGATGTACACTTAAAAATGAGGATGTGGGCCGGTGCCGCGGCTCAATAGGCTAATCCTCCTCCTGCGGCGCCAGCACCCTGGGTTCTAGTCCCCATCGTGGTGCCGGATTCTGTCCCAGTTGCCTCTCTTCCAGTCCAGCTCTCTGCTGTGGCCCGGGAGTGCAGTGGAGGATGGCCCAAGTGCTTGGGCCCTGCACCTGCATGGGAGACCAGGAGAAGCACCTGGCTCCTGGCTTTGGATCAGCGCGGTACGCTGGTCGCAACACGCTGGCCACAGTCTCTCTCTCTGTCACTGTCCACTCTGCCTGTGAATAAATAAATAAATAAATAAATAAGGATGTGATAAACATTGGAGACCATGGGTTCGAATATCTCAGAGTATTTTATCATGGCTCATTAGACAAAAAAAATTATTATTCTCAAACAGAATGGAAAAAAGGCATCTTGGGCCAAATATTAGACAGAATGTAACTGAAGTTTAAAGCCTTTAGCAAAGAACTATGATATTTTGGCAAAAAGTAAGGAAATATTGTACAAAAACACAGCAAACGAGAAATCAATGAGGCAAAATGTATTGCAATTGGAAACTCACACATAAGTTATAAAAGATTTCAATTACCCAGGTATGTTGGCTATATTAAACAACAAAATAATAAAGATTTGGAGAACATAAACCCAATTTTAAAAATCCATATTTGTAGGTTTAGATGAATTAGATTAAAATGAGAACATCATATTTTTATAACTCACTACATTTAATCTACACTACAACTGAAAGTTTTCTTGCCAGATAAAATACAGAAAGCAGTTAAATCTGTTTTAGATATAAAGGGAACACATGGGATGCCACTGCTGAAGGCCAAGGCATTAAGGGGCTGAACCACAGCATTGGCCCCTGGCTTGAAATTTACATACAAGTAGTTTCTCTGCATTTCTATTTGCAAAATTAGTGGCCAGGCTTTAAAGAAATCACACTTGCTACATAAAATAGAATTTTGCATTTAAAGCAAGATTCACAAAAATTAAGTAATAAATGAAAACAGAAACCTTAACTCCCCCCAAATCATACAAACGAAACCTATATTAAATGAAAATTGAGAAATACTCTCTGGAAATTCAATTAACCAAAGAGTGAATAAAAGGAGAGAACACAATTAGGAGCTTGTTTTTAAATTACAATTTAAAAACGACACACTGTGCCCTAGACTCACAGCTACACAAAGAATGGCTCCATGAAATCGCAGATCCAGCATCACACTGGCGCTTGTTAGACCTGCAGAAATTTATGTTCATTTAAAACTAGTAAGTCATTTTCCTGCCGCGCTCAGGCAGAGGGCCGGGGCCGCGGGGAGAGGCGGAGCCCGGGAGCAGGGCCTGGGCGCCCCGCGGGGAGGTCGCGGCCCTGACCTTGACGGGGCTGGGCCCTGCTCCCCTCCCGCCGGAGATGAGGGAAGATGGCCGTGTCTGGGCTGAAGGCCGAGCGGAAGTTCCTGGCGTCCGTCTTCCCGAGAACCACGGGCGATTCCGCATGGTCAGCGGGAAGCTGGAGGAGCTGCACTGCCCGTTCCTGGTGCCGCCGCCGGCGCCGCCGCTGCTCTCGCCGCACCGCAGCATCGCGGATCTGAGCCCTCTTCTTCAGAACGCGCTCCTCGGACCTCTCTCGGCGGCGGAACTGCACTATTATGACATCAAAATCCTGCAAGATTACGTTTTTTACACCACCGGGTCTGATCGGACAGCTCGCATAGCCGTCAGCATGGACGACACAGAAGACGCAACAAATCAGCATCTTTACAGCAGGGACGGGAACTCCAGGCCGCTCCAGATGGTAGAGAGGCGAGGCCTGGGTTCAGGGGCCAAGGGCCTCCCCCAGGGCTGCGCCCTTTCACCAGCGGGATCCTGCCACCTGCTGGGCCCCTCCTGCCTCCCCACGGGTCTTCCTGGGAGAATCCCACCTGAGGCTGCAGTAACCTGCTTAGGGTGAGGTAGAGAGTATTGGCTGTTTATTGGCTTCTGGGCCTTTTCCTTTTCTTCATATTTGTAACTCATTTCTCTGTGTGTCATTTGTGGTGGTTTTAATATTTATCTTGTGAATGTTTACAATTTTAACATAATTTAATCTTTTTAACTCTTGTAGATATTTGTTTTCTACTCTGCTTCTTGCCCTTTAATATTTTTTTTATCTCTTGCTGGTACTTAGTAAGTAGTGGAAATCTTTCTAGTAATCTCATTAAATTTGTTTATTATTTGTATTTTTTTAGATTTTTATGAATTATCTCTATGTAAGTGTCATACTATATGACAGTTTTATTCCTTAGAAATTATCTTTACACCTTTGATTTACTTTTTGCCATTTTATTTCCCTGACGACCCTCCAGTAGGAAGTTGAAGATAAATAGTGGCAGCCTCCTGATCCAGGCTTACTTCCAGGGAAGAAAGCTGTCAGTGGTCCTGTATTAGCTGTGTTGTTCGTTGTAGGTTCCCTTTGTTCTTGACCAGATTGAGGAAGTCACTTTTTGTTTGTTTATTTTTACTGATAGCACGTATTTTTTCACTAGATGCAGAATTCTATTAAATGCTTTTCAACATGTAATCTAACTGATCACGTGATTTCCTTTTTGTATTTTTCACCTGTTTAGATGACCTGGTAACATTAACAAATCTTATATTTTTAATTATCTCTTGCTTGTAGTTTATCTATTATATTTTCATACATGATTTCATTTATTATTTCATAATACTTTGCTTAGCCTATTTGTATCTCTGTTTGTGAAAGGGCTGCTTTTAAATCCTGGTCCACTTGCCTCATCATTGATGTTAATGTTAGTTTTACAAAAGAAATTTAAAAATATCTTCTGCTTATTTACACTTTGCATAGGTCTGGGAATTTTTGTTTGTTTCCTTAGAAGTTTGGAGTATGCCATGTTTAATTTGAACTTAGATTTCACTTTAAAATTGTGTTTCTGAAGGATTTTCAGAGTATAGAATAAAATATTCAAGGACAACTTAAGAGAATCCAGAACAAACATGACAATGAGGGGGGATTTTGGACAACTGGCCTTTGTTTCTGGTAAGTCAATGAAATTTTAAAGCAAATGTGCAAGATTAAATGACAGAAATGGGCTAAAATACAGATCAGTCATTAGTCCTGCTTTGTTCCTTGGACATGTCTGACATGTTGAAAAAGGGAAGTAATCATTCTTCATTAAACTGGGTAGAGGCCGGCGCCGTGACTCAATAGGTTAATCCTCCACCTGTGGCGCTGGCACCCTGGGTTCTAGTCCTGGTCGGGGCACCAGATTCTGTCCCAGTCACTCCTCTTTCTGTCCAGCTCTCTGCTGTAGCTCGGGAGTGCAGTGGAGGATGGCCCAAGTGCTTGGGCCCTGCACCCGCATGGGAGACCAGGAGGGACACTTGGCTCCTGGCTTTGGATCAGCGTGCTGGCTGCAGCGGCCATTTGAGGGATGAACCAATGGAAAAAGAAGAGCTTTCTCTCTGTCTCTCTCACTGTACACTCTGCCTGTCAAAAATAAATAAATAAATAAACTGGATAGAAATGCACTGTTGAACAAAAATAAATATTCATGAAATCATATAACCGTGATGCTCATAGAATGTTCTCATACAGGAAAAAGTAATGCTGTATTTTCATTATGAGATCTGTGATGATATGAGTCTTAAAAGTTAATAGAAAATGTGTACTATGAAAAAAACTATGCAGATATGTAAATATTTTTGCACAAAATACGTATCTTTTAATTCCATTTTTCTACAATCTCAATATTCCATTGTGTATATATGCTAAGCAATCTCCTATGAATCCCATGTTGTTTTTGTACTACCCAGTATTCAGTGTGAGTCTTAACCTACTTCTTCTAAGGTTGTACATTATGACTAAAAAGAAATAAAACATCACATCTGCAGTTGTTAAATTTTGGACTTTTTTATTTTCAAAGCTTTACTTATTTATTTGAAAGGCAGAGTTGCAAACACACAGAGAGATTTTTTCATCCACTAGTTCACTCCCTATATGGCCACAGTGCAGAGCTGGGCTGATCTGAAGCCAGGAGCTAGAAGTTTCTTCCAGGTCTCCCATATGGGTGCAGGGGCCCAATTAGTTGGGCCGTCCTCCACTGCTTTCCCAGGCACATTTGCAGGGAGCTGGATGGGAAGAAGAGCACCGAAGACTCAAACCAGCACACATGAAATTCCAACACTACGGTGGTAGGTTTACCTGCTTTGCTTCAGCACCAGCCCCAAAACTTTGGACTTTTAAATCAGAAACTTCATGGATTGGAACTTAAAGATGCTGATCTTGCTTTCTCTCATAAATATTTGGCACTGATTACCAATAAACTCAGGGTGCCAAACTTCACTATTTGGATTCCTGTCTATGCTGATAAGCATCCACTGCCAGCTGTCTCTTTTATTTGAAATTTGGTTGTATTTAAACACAAAGCGACAGAAATACCAGCACTGCTGACACACATACAATTTATGGTAAAATAAACAGTACTTAAACCTTCAGTTGCAACAGTCTGTAGTTTCTGTTTCATCCTGTAAATTTTCAAAGCAGCCAAAGCCAACAAGAATAAAATGAGGAACAGTAAGACTCAAAGACAATACTTAGCAATACTAGTAATGTCAATGATGTTAAAATTTTAGTTACGTGCCCTGCACAAATTAAGTTCTTTCACATTCTGACCCAAGAACATAGATCCCCAAAACTACCTTAATGTATGCTTAGAAATCTGAAAACAGATGTGGAAAAGTACTAATCTAAACCAACCCTCATTTGACAAGGGAAGACAGGAATCTACATATGCACACTGATTTAACACAGTAACAGGGAAAGAAAGCCAAAGCAAAACAGTCCAAATGAGCAAAACTCTGATTATTGAGATTTCACATAATAAACTTTATAGCTGTTCTCATGGATAATCTGCACATACATAATTATCCTTCATTTTCATAGATTGCATTTTCCAAATGAGGGCAAAATAGTGTCAGTAAGCTCTTTGAAGGGCATTATAAAAGCTATTAGCCAACCTTTTATGTGAGTGTAATCTACACATTCATTTCTCCAAGCTGGGACAATGAAGATACTTAACTAGTGACTGATATGAATCAGGATTTTTTTTAATGGGCAGAGTGGACAGTGAGAGAGAGACAGAGATAAAAGTCTTCTTTCCATTGGTTCACCCCCCAAATGGCCGCCACGGCTGGTGCACTGCACTGACCTGAAGCCAGGAGCCAGGTGCTTCCTCCTGGTTTCCCATGCAGGTTCAGAGCCCAAGGCCCTGGACCATCCTCCACTAAACTCCTGGGCCACAGCAGAGAGCTGGACTGGAAGAGGAGCAACCAGGAAAGAATCCAGTGCCCCAACTGGGACCCAGGGTGCCGGCACCACAGGCAGAGGATTAGCATAGTGAGCCACGGCACCAGCCATGAATCAGGATTTCTAATACCCATTAAAAACACTTGAAGAGAATTACTTACCTAAACTATTTTTGAAAATCAAATTAGGTAAAACTCAAATGAAAAAGACTACTTTAAGCATGTCTCCACTCTCACACTATTCTAAACCTTCTACTCTGGTTTCAAAAATTATCTAAAAAATTTGTTGTCAAACACCATAAATACTAAGAATATAAATCAATGATATGATACCAGAAATTTGGCTAGCTATATTGAGAATTTGAAAAATATTGAGAATAAAGAAAATACTGAGGGGGCAGCATATGGTGTGGTTACAGTAGTCTCATATGAGTCCTGTATATGATTCACATTCACAAATAGGTGTATATGCAAACAAAGACCTAAAATCAACCTTAAATCTACATTTATGGCCATTGCCATGGCTCACTAGTCTAATCCTCCACCTGTGGCGCCAGTACCCTGGGTTCTAGTCTGGGTTGGGGCACTGGTTCTGTCCCAGTTACTCCTCTTCCAGTCCAGCTCTTTGCTGTGGCCTGAGAAGGCAGTGGATGATGGCCCAAGTGCTTTGGCCCTGCACCCGCATGGGAGACCAGGAGGAAGCACCTGGCTCCTGGCTTTGGATTGGCACTGCACGGTGGCTGTGGCGGCCATTTGGGAGGTGAACCAATGGAAAGAAGACTTTTATCTCTGTCTGTCTCTCTCTGTCTAAATCTGCCTGTCAAAAAAAAATCTACATTTATTTCTTCTCCTACATGTAGTTTGCTTATGTTTTTAATCTTATTTAAAATATTTTTAGACATATATTCATTTTATTACTTGTCTGATGCTACATTCTTAATTTATTACCTATGATTCTCACTGCACTCAAATTTTCAGATCAACTTTTTAACAGTTGTTATTGCCTTCTCATTCAAGTTAGCTGAAAACATCACTATAAACTCCACACGTAACTTTATCCCATCATTCATGGTTTCTGGTCTTGAGGGTTTTGCTGTTTTTTTTTTTTAATACCTTAGATTTTATTATACCATCCAGAATTTTTATTTTGTTTGAATTTCCATTGTTTTTCAAATAAAGTGTTTTTAATTTTATTTGCTTTTCTTTTTTTTTATTTGACAGATAGAGTTATAGACAGTGAGAGAGAGAGAGAGACAGAGAGAAAGGTCTTCCTTCCGTTGGTTCACTCCCCAAATGGCTGCAACGGCTGGCACTGCACCTATCTGAAGCCAGGAGCCAGGTGCTTCTTCCTGGTCTCCCATGTGGGTGCAGGGGCCCAAACACTTGTGCCATCCTCCACTGCCTTCCTGGGCCACAGCAGAGAGCTGGACTGGAAGAGGGGCAGCCGGGACTAAACCCCGGTGCCCATATGGGATACCAGTGCCACAGGTGGGGGATTAACCAAGTGAACCACAGCGCTGGCCCCTAATTTTATTTGCTTTTCAAAGAAAGAGTTTTACATTTTTTTCAAAGTGTTTTTCACTTTATTTGAAGGACACAGACAGTAGAGACAGAGAGATCTCCTATCAGCTGGTTCACTACTT